ACGGTGTAGGCGGTGTAACCGGTGTATACGGTGTAGACGGTGTAAAAGTGTAGACGGTGTAACCGGTGTGAACGGTGTAGACGGTGTAAACGGTGTAGACGGTGTAAACGGTGTAGACGGTGTAGACGGTGTAGACGGTGTAAGCGGTGTAGACGGTGTAAACGGTGTACCGAAAAAGCGTGGACACTGATTGCGCCAGCAATTTAAAACTCAATATTTAAGGATGCCACGCGCATTGCCACAATGTTGTAAGCACAGCGGCGCAGTTCTTGAGACTTTGCTTTTCCAAGAGCTTGCTGCTGGGCACATTCAGCACAAGTGGCAACAAAGTGTCTTTGCACTTCAGCATCGACGCTTCATCGGAGTCATGGGTCCTGCGAAACCTCAAACAACAAAATTTGACGTCGACGTTGCACCGGCAGCGCACCATCGCGACATCGGAAGTTGCCGACCTGAAAGGCTGGTTCCTTGGCGCCAGAACTAACCCATGATCTTTAGGGTCTTCGGGCGTAGAGACTACAGTGTTTGGATTCGGTCGCTTTCCGTGTCGACGAATGCGTTTTTCCCAACACCACTATGTGGAAGAAGGAAAACCGACAGGCAGGCGCTCTGTTAGATTTTAGCAACTTGCGTTTTTCGACCATACTCATACTCTTGTTGGCACTTTTCAAACAAGTAAAGCTGCATTCGCGATTGCGCGCGTGAACGTGTAGAAAATCGAAAGTCGAGAGCGAAAGTTGCGTGCCATGTTTGCGCCTCGGAGTGAAGCATGTCTGCAGTGACCGGGGCATTGTCCACTGTCAGCACGTTTTGAACTTCACCTGCCGCGTTAGCGCTCGCAGTGAGTCTCATCGGAGCCTTGGTCTTTCTTTGCGTTGACAAAAGGAGGCAAGCGATACAAAGGCATTGAACTCTATTCACAACCAGTCAATGAAAGATCCTGGTGTGGATTGGCAGCCATCCTATTGTTTAGGTGAGCTGAAGCACGTTCTGCGGCAATGCACCGCAGTGGTGATTCTGGAACCACATTCAGCAAAGGGCGCCTTGTTGTTTGATCCACCTCCAAGTGGCCGTCACACCGCGTTTGCCTTTGTTGTTGCCGAGAAAACGGTTCCTGGGGCATGGTGACTGCCAGTTGTTGCGCAGGAAGGGCGGCGCATTCATATTGTATACTTGTTTCTTTCCGGCGCAATGCACCATTGCCTGCTGCCATGCTGGGTGCCAAGCTTGGGGGATCATGTTGCAACATGCCGATAAGGTTCAAATCTTTAAATGTTGGAACAACCGTCTGTTTTTCGATGCCCATGTTGAAAGCCACGGCCTTGGGCTTCCAAGGCCTCCGAGATTCATGGGACACCGGACGATGCGAAGTCATCCTCAACATTAAAATGTCCCAAGAACCGGCGCAACCTAAAGCGTCCAAGATATACGCTGTCCACCCCTTGCAGGTGGGGGCAATTGAGCTCCTGTATCAGCAGGAAAAACCTCGCTCTACACATCGGGAAGGCTGTTGTGAGCTGGCGCATTCGCACAGCAGGGTTGGCATGGGTGGGCTTCCGTTGTCAAATTGAGATCTGGGTTTTCGCAGAGTTGGAAATGAAAGGGCTGTATGTGTTTGTGCAGTTGTGTGTTGAAACGTTGTCATGGGACCGAAACATGTATTCATTCCATGGCCGAGGTGTCTGAGACGTTTTTTGGTACCTTTCTGTCAATGGAACAGAAAGTGGTACTGAAGAGCATGTGTCGCGGTCTCTATATTCGAGGGCACGCTGCCACTGCCAATGATTTGCTGAACAGTTTGGTTGCTGTCGTTCGTGTAAGCTTTCAGGAAATCCTCTGACTTGTCCGTGGCTATGAATTTGAAATCTTTTTCAAAGCCTGGGCGTTGGAAAGACGAACGAACTTCTTGCAAGGTTCTCATGCGCCGCAGAAAATCTCCAAAGATCGAAGCACATGTTGGGCCATCGAACCTGCTGACTGCCCGGGCCCGATGAGGGGTTGCGTCGTCTGCGCGCTCGTATTCGAGTTCCTCTCGCTGCATCAGGGCTGAACAAAGGTTTTGGTAGGTCACGTCCGGATTTGGCCGCCCTTGCAGGTTCGGGACGGCATCTCCATAAAAAAACTCCACAAAACTACTTGGACATGTTTCGGAATCAAGAGCGCCCAAGACTCCTGTACTGGGCACCGCCAGGGCATCAACATGAAGATGGCCACCGACCTTCGACAAGCCTTCTGCTAGTTCGTCCATTCTGTTTGTGCTTTGCAAGAGTCTGCGGATGGTGTCTTGCACATCAAGGACCACACGATGACAAGAAGCTTCCTCCCCCACTTGTGGCACAGCTGCGGTGACGTCTTCTTCGGCATTGTCTGATGGTCTTGCATTTGATTTTTTGGCAAGTCTTTTTGCAAAATTTCAAAAATTTTTCGTGCTGCTTCAAACAACTGAACGGGCTTAGGGTCCTGGAAAGGGTCCACACCTACCATGAACTGCGATTGCTGCTGTTCAGGTGTTCCTGCTTCAAGATTGTCGTGTGCATCATCTGCTTTGACCGCTATGGTCACCTAATGGCTTGCTCGAAAAGCTGCCCACTCAAATGCAGTGCTTCATCAAGTCTTGGCAAAGAACTTTGGCAGATGCCACCTGCTTTCCGCTACGGACACCTACGTTCCCCAGGGGACACTCCTCGGCTACACCCTTGGCTGGCACAGATACCAGACATACTCAAGATAAGGTGTACTGACACGATTGCAGCTTGCCACACGCCAGCCTAAGTAAAAACCTAAGAGTCCAGGGTAGTTAAAACCTGAAGGAAAAGGACATGGACTAGAGTCCAATTCTGAGTGGCATAAGGTGCAACTGCAAGTCGGTCAAGCTCATTGGCTGTTTAATGCAGAATCGAAGCCAAGAGAGAAAGCTTGTTCTAGCTATAAGCAGGGACCAACAACATAGGACCCACCAGTTGCACTTGGATGCCCAGGTGCGGTCAATCTCGTCTCATGCAGGCTCCGAGAGCCCCCTGCTTACTAAAAAACTACAAATCAACGGATTCCCTGATTCCAAGGGTTACACACACATATATAATTTGCTCTTGCGGTTGGTTTCGTCGGACTGCTAAGCTTTCAAAAAAAGACGGCTGAGCATCTCATCCCACTCCTTTTTAGGAACAACCACCCTAAGTCATCCCACTCCTGCTTGAACTTCACAGATGTTAGGCCGTCGTGCAGCGTCTGGTTGGAGAGTTCTCTCGAATCGGGCCAGCCCCATGCACCTGCGGTGATCTCATGGGAAGCCTCGAAAATCAATTAAAGTATCTGTAAGTCGCAAAGTGCGGCTCAAATTCACCAGGTCTTCGGTGAGCATCCACTGAAGTCAATTTGCACAAGTAATCAACATGAGACCCTCAACAGGATCAAGAAACATAACTTCCAAGAAGTAATCGAAGCGCTTGACAGGGTTCAAGGCCCTGAAGTCATATTCTATCCATCCCTGCCTTGCAGCACGAAGAGCAGCGGCCATTGCGTGGGGAAAACCGCCAAGCGCATTAGAGATGCGGAAGCGGCCTATGTAACGTTTCCGGGACGCTTTATGTCTCTTTTTGTGTCAACTCTTCAGACGACATTCCAGATGCGTCCCCCAACCCGAAATAGGGGCTTCGGTCTACACACCCAATTGAAGCCCCATGTCGAAATGCGCGCCATACCTGGCATCCGCCGAACGGGCACTAGGAGGCGTGGTGTTCCGTGGTTGGAGAATCCTTGGAAGGTTGTAATGCAGCCAGCCACGCATCCTTCATGACTCACAGCTAATCAGGTACTACTGAAGCGCCAACAACTGCCAATAGAAGGAGTGCTCCTTTCAGCCATCAAATGCTGAGTTGTTCTGCTCTCATGCATTGAGCCAGCACAAGCTCAAAGCAAATCCCGCTCTAGTTTGGGAAGTCAACACCACCAATTCTTCCATCAGATCACACGTTTTGGCATGCTTTGACTCCAAGCCGAGTGGTGGCGCCGACCGGTTCCGCGTTGTCCGCTCTGGGCCGCTGACACAATCCGAGGCGGGCGTCCTGTCATCCACGATGTCCCCAACCTGTGGTGATGGGCCACGGGACGTCACGGGCAGAACAGGGGCTGGTCACATCGGCAAAATATTATATAAACAAAAAATACTGCGTGCAGGTCACGGCGGATGAAACGAAATAATAGAATGAAATATGTATGAAATAAAAGTAAATAACAATAGTAATCGTAATAATAGTAATAATGAAAGTAACAATAACAATAGTATATAGATAATAATCATTGGTAGGCTGCAGTACTGTTTCTCCAAGATCTGAAAAGCTGTCATTGCTGGAAGTATCGAATTCATTGATTCCACATAGCACAAGCAGGCTAGATGTCGCAATTGCTCGCATCCCACAGCCGCAGAGTTGTCACTACATGGAGAAACCCGTCAAGCCTGAGGGCAGCAACGCTGAGCCACCCATAGGCAATTCCCCCGCCGGCGACGAAATCCTACAGTATCCTCTATACTTGTGGCGTCCGCGACAGACGTGCTGCATACATATACATGATTGTCTCGTCAAAACAACACAATTTCGTGCCTTTTTGGCTTCATGACGCTGGCATCCGAGGCACTCAGCGTTCGCCAGGCGTGCCATGGAAATCATTGAAGCCTCGGCGAGCAAGATGTTTCTTTTTTCGTCGGCATTTCACCACAAGCATCATCAGCATCATCAGTATCATTTGCAACAGCATCATCAGCATCATCGTCATCCTCATCATCCTCAAAAGAAAGTCTTACATCCACAATTGTCCCTTCAAACAGGAGCTTGAGGTTTGGAACTAGTGGAAAAATGATCCTCCTCTTGGCAGGGCCCTTGCAGCCCATGATCAAATAAGTGTCGCAACAAACTCCATTGATTCAACGTTACTCCCCACATGAGTAGCGTAGACAGATGATTGCCAATTGACTATTACAAAAATGAAGCTAAGCAACTCCAAAAGACGAGTCTCCCACACTGGTGAAACCCAAATGGACGAGTCTAACGTCTGTGTCGCATGTGCCGTGCCGGTCAGGTCATTCGACTTCCTCCCCGTCTTGTGACTCCTGCTTTTTATTTATCAAAACGATATTTGGTCGTCCTCCTTCCTAAGCTGGTCCTTCAAGTAGTTCATGTCCTGTTTCACTCTCTGGGCTCATAACAACGATGTGTCCAACCATCCTACGTTGAAGGCCTGTACTTCAATTCGACCTCTCTTGCTGCCGAGTCTCCTCAAGCTCGGAATCTCCTTGGAATGGATGACTCTGGGTGATTTCGGCCAAATACCTGCAGCCGATCACAACAGATTCATCTTGACCCGAACATCCCTTTTGGGTCTTTTGGCTGGAAGAGACCGTACTATCACGGCGACCCATGCCAGCCACATCGGAGAATCAGGAAAATTGGTGGAGAAAAAGGAAACAAAAAGAAACTCTCTGCCCAAAAAATACGAAAAGAGACATGATCAGGACTCGTCCTCGTCTGGACGCGCAGCACTCGTCTGCGTCCTCCTGTTTGGGCCGGGTCGCATCGCCCGTTTGGCCACGAGCGACCAGATCTCCGGCGGGGAGAGGCCGAGCTCATCGGTGGGAGAGTCTTGACCAAAGAGGAAAGGACTGACAGTGTGAATGGCCGCCATGTCCATCTCGCAAATCCTAAGATGGAAGAAGATGGAAGAAGATGGAAGTAAGAAGGCGCACAATTGTGCGAACAACAAATGCTCAATAGAGGGTGAGCCTTTGAAACACCTGTGGACAGGAAGAATGATTAAAAATGGCGTGTCTTTGAACCCTTTGAACTCTACCTGACCAAATCTCACCTTCATGCCATGTAGGTAGGTTTTGATCCCTCACTTTCCCTGACCACATGATTTGACCACAGTTGTCGTCTTCACAGCCTACACCCCTATCCAGGCCGAGCATCCGCAAGCGCATCATGGGAGGAACCTCTGAAAGATTGTCCACCGACTCGTAACCTCCACGACATGCGGATGCTCCACATACATGGATGTGCATCTTTGCAGAAAATGTTCATGACATGTGTGGAATCTGGCAGTATTGCGGCACCTTTGCCTTGGTTTCGTGTCTCAAACCATCCATGATAAATTGCACTGCACCGAATGCATACAATCAAACCGCACGATTGTGAAGATGGTGCGACCTGTTGCCATGGACCAAACCCTTGGATGTAGGTGGATGGGGTCTAGTTCAGGTTCTATTCCGAAACTGTCCAAAGGCCTGTCCAAAGTCTGGTGCCCATTTGGGACACCGAAGTGGTTCAGGCCCAGAGAGAAACAGAAGGACATGACCGAACACACTGCAAAGTCTGCGGCCTCCCAACTCGGGGACCAAAAAGGCGAGTGTTGCGAGAAAAAGAGTGTAGAGATGAAAGGAACTCAGTCTTGGGCAAGAGAACGATGTTTTCTTCGTTCTCCCGCAAACATGTTCAAGTCCTTTAGATGATTGATTGACTTGGACTTATATGTATAGGGTTTGTGATTCCAGAAGAAATCTTCCACCGATTCCAATATGTCCAATTCTCAATGATGCGAATACACACGAAGCCGGAAGGGGCAAAGCTCAAAAAAGGGAAAAAGCTGATCAAAGCTGATCAATGCAGCTATGACACATGCACATTTTTCTCCTCGCAGTGCACTCCACAGCGTTCGTGATGCGATGTACCAGGCGCTGAACAGGATTAAACCTCGCGAATGCATTCGGCAGGTCGAAGGACTTCCTGGTGTTACTAGTAGCTACTTGCTCCTAGTAGCGATGCCAGGAGCCCCTAGTAGCTACTTGCTCCTAGTAGCGATGCCAAGAGCCCCTAGTAGCTTCTTGTTACTTATCTGAGAAGGGAGTAGACGTTTCGTGAAACAGCTAGTCGCGCTATGTCACGCTTGACTGTTGGCGTTGACTCCAAGATCTCTAAGACAATGCCATAGTAGCTTCTTGCTACTAGTAGCAATGCCTTGTTACTGGTAGCGATGTCCTCGTTACTAGTAGCTTCTGCTACTAGTAGCGTTGGGGCAAATCCTCCAGCCCTGGAGGTATGAACTTCGTCACGCTCGCCACCAATTCCTGTCGTTCGGAATCATCGGCTCAGAGCTAGTCAACAGGATGAAACAGGAACCCTGCAGACCGTGGAACTTTGTGTATTAAGATAGGAAGACCTTCCAGGCAAGCACCCGCTGAAAGAGGGAAAATAGACCACTCTACCCAGTGGGCCAGGGGATCTCCCTACTAAGAATACACACCCCATTGGACATTCCAACCTCTTAGCGATGGCCTCCAACCTAATAGCGATGGCCTCCAACCTACTAGCGATGGCCTTCAACCTCTTAGCGATGGCCTCCAACCTAATAGCGATGGTCTCCCTAACTAACAAAATACACATCCCTTTAGACATTGGCCTCATAGGCATCGATCAGTTGATGATCAGCGATGCCCGGGAGCGCATCAAGGGAGGCATCCTCCGGCGGTAGAAATGGGCCAAAACCACGTTGGCTTTGGTGACGGCCGAAAACGTATGTCTTTTTGCATGCAAAAGGGTGGTCTTCATGGAGCAATGCCGGTTTGTCAACTGCTAGAAACGTCGTTTTGACCTAACTTTCGGTCATGACTAGCTCAAACGACATGTCTTTTTCAAGCGCAGAGCTTGCTCCATGCAAGAAGTTGACTCATCTGCCTTCCAAAGTCACATTTTAACAGAACGACCCGCCCACCTGACACATCCATGCTGCCAAGCTACACATCTCGCATGTTTCTTTTGACACCCCCAAAAGAAAGAAAACGAGCCACCTCCCAGACTGAGGCCATGGCCACGAGAAGCAGCAGGAGCGCCAGCCGAAAGAAGCCATGGCCACGACCCATGGGTCGGACGAGGTCTCCGTCGGTCACGGCGAAGCGGTCACGGTGCTCGGTGGAGGGGTGAAGAACAAAACCGGTGGTGCCGAGAAGCACAAGGGGTGAGAAAGCAGAAAGCAGCAAGAAGGGTGAGAACATGAAATTTGGAAGTTGCTAAGGAGAATCTTCTTCATGACCTAAGCTGGCAGCATGGGAAGACCCAAGCATTTGAGAAGTTTCCGATATGATAGCGAGTCTTAGAGAGATCATTCGGAGTTCGGATGCTTTCCTTGAGCTCGATGTATTGAGCTTGAGCCCAGCTGGTTCGCCCAGCTGCTTCGCCCAGCGGAACCTTCATGCGGTGGTCATTTTGTGGAAAGGGCAACCTAAAAAAAACATGTTAAGAAGTAGCAATCATGTGGTGTCACTTGTCAGGTACATGTGAAACGAATGAAAAGCTACAAGAACTATAAAGCCACGCAGGACAAGGTGATCTCAAATCCCGCGACTGGTGTCACCTCCAATTTCGGTGATCAGAAGTCGTGAACATTGGCACAAACCCGCACAAACCCACCATGCTCATCCTATAAGCCTTGTCCATGCGGTGAGTACCAGAAGCCTCGCAAAAAGGTTCCGAAAGGCTTTCACCCGATTTGCGGAACATCAAATCGCTCAGAATGAATCACGAAACAGTTAAACATGTGTTTTCTGTTGTCTCCAGTCTCCACAAATGGGATCCACTTGGTCAAGCCTCTCCCATTTGGCTCCAGAAAATCTCAGAGCCTCATTCCTTTTCCGCTTTGGCCACAGGCGTCGTGGGACTTTGCCACGTTCCAGCAAGTAGCAGCTGTGTTTCACTGCACTGCCTCAGTTTTTTGTTTTCAACATCTCCCAATCCTTTCAGCCCCCGTGGTCCCCAAGACGCACTCCCCTATGGGCGGCGTCTTTTTTGGTGAGATGCCGCCAACTCTCGCGGCCAACTCCGGGAGTGGTTGAAAGCTGTGCGAAATGGCGCAAGTATTTGGAGTTGCCACTCTCTGCCACCCAAGTATCCTGACGTTAAAGAGTTCCTTCATCAAGTTTGTGGTAAGGAACTGGAACCAAAATTCGATACCCGTGGTTGTCTCTTCCAAGACAGACACGGCGGAGAGGGGATGCTGGCAAAACAAAAGGTAAAGAAAATGCATGCTACACTCGCCCAAAATGTTTTTTTGGGGGTTCGCACCATCGGATTTGTTCAAACCATTTAAAAATCCAAATGGCAGCTAGCACAGCCAGCTTTCCTTGTGTGCGCTCATTTCAGGTGGCTGCTCTTACAATGTTGTTGAATTGATGGAAAGCGTGGTGTTCTCAAGAACATCAGCGTCTCGTGAAGAGGACCAAAGAAATCAGCATATCATGAAGAGGACCAGCTTCTCGCCCAAAATCCTACAGTATACCCAAAATCGTTGTCTGAAAAAGAAAGAAAGAAACAGGGCAACTCCACTTGGGTGACGGCTCTTTTCCTTGTGTACAGCTGGACTCGGTCAAAATGCCCGGATCCAGGCAGTCGATCCTGCAGCGCAAGCGCCCATTCAGCGCCTGGGGCAATGCTGCATGCACCGGTCAAGCGACGCTCACCCCCCTGATTTGATTGAATTTGAGGGGACCCAGCATGGAAGTGGACTCACGAGCAGCTCAGCATGGAAGCGGACTCTGTTCTGCTCGTCATTACAATGGCTATTCAGTCTATGCAGGATACCCCGGCACAAGGACGGCTGAAGCTTGGGGTTGACCTATACTTCACCTCCAACAAGCATAGAAGTGAAGTGGACAATGGCCCTTTGGAATTGCCGATGTTCCTCTACAAACTGAGGTTTGTGCACGTCCATGATTGTTGCAGGGAGTTTTTTGGCGGCCAACATGTGTCTGTTTCAACGACGGCTTTTGCGGCTTTCCTCCAAGTACCAAGCAATTCTGGGGGTGAAAAGTGACACGAACAGAGGTACTTGGTGACACCAGAATTGGTACTTGGAGGAAAGCTGGTGTACAGGCCAAGCTGGTGACTACCAGCTTCATTGAACATCGCTGTCTCTCCCGGCCTGGCCTGGCTCATCACATCTTGCTGCCTCAGCATCCGTTTTCGCTGAGGTTCCAAACAAGCAAGGACTTCATGGCCATCCCCATGTCGCGTGCAATGGAGCAAACTTGCTTGTCTACCAGAAACGCCGAGTTTGATGCAAGAACCTTGTGAAACGTGTCCGATTCTGCATGTTGGAGTTCCACAAAACCGCTGCCGACCGGGGCAGCAGTAAAAGAAAACAGACGCTAAACCTCCATGCATGGGTGGCAAATTCTGTAAGAAGTTTGACTGTCATCATCCCCTTGATTAGTAACAGAATCTACTTTTAACAAAGGGCATCGCTACGAACAAAGCGATCGGACGATACGACCGGGGCGCTCCTGGCATTACTACTAGTAACAAGAAGCCACGAACGTAGCAGCCCACTCATACCCCCTTGTTTGAGCAGCGCACTCTTCTGCGGAATGAGATTGGCCACCACCTCACTGCGCGCAGAACTCGGAGCGTCCCCACCTGTCTGTCTCTACCTGAAACATCAGACCACGACAGAAAGTGGTTCATCTTGTGACCTATGCGGCTATGTGTTCACGATAGATGCTAAAACTTCATGGCGAACGTCACATGTCAGAGGTTCTTCTTTTGGAAAGTCTCACCAGAAGATGGTGGGTGTTGCATCTGTTTTCTCCACTCCACCAGCTTGAGGTGTTGGAAGCCGAGCAGGGAGGAATGGAGACAGTTGCATGTTTTCTTTACCACTGGTGACAGTTCAGACTATGCTTTTTCTGACAAATCATGTGTTTAACAGTGTGACTGTTCCATCCTCCTTGCCATGGGGTTTTGGAAAAGCCTACTTCAAGTTGCGCTTGGGTTCAGTGGAGGGATGTGAGCATCGCTATAGGATGATGTTGTGATTGTTGTCGAAGCCTTGCATTGCTTGCCCTGCTGAGCCGTTGAGATGGTCTTTCCTACAAAAAGCACTATGACTATTACACCTTCTACATCAATGTTTCGGGGTATGGTTTTCCAGTCCGCGTGTGTTTCATGCCAGCGGCATGACGTGACCTTCACCGTTTTTTTGAGGTAGGTCCGGTCTCAGAGTGACAAAGCACACGTGTCAGGTCTGCTCCAGCTGAAGCGGTCTCCTGGCCTTCTGGACACGAAGCTGCACCTTCTCAACCTGCTCCTTGGGCGGCTTCACCTCAACGGAAGGTCCAACGATGTCCTCTGACATGGCCAGGCCATGAGGCCATCACTGCAATGGCACGGGGCGTGCAGTTCCTTGTGTGATGTGTGATGTGTGTGAGCAGCGTTCCTTGGTTGAATATAGGAATACTCATGTTGCCTCTTGGAATGTTGGAGGGTCAGGAGTCAGGGGTGGTGTGCGTTTGACCTAGGAGTTGCAGAACTGATGCAACTAGGCAAGGCTGTTATCCAATGCAAACTCGTCAAAGGCCATCTAATGTCGTTGGATTGCCTGGTTTCCTCGCCCAACTCACAAAATCACCACCATCCCCCTAGATTCCAGAACAACGGCCGCTCAGTGCATTCCGCCTCGCCTCACGTTCCCAAATTGCCGCCCATTTCTGGATGTTCCTTGGCACAAGCTGCAAATGGTAGAGGTCTTTGAAAGTGGAGAAAGAACCTGTTGAGGACCCCAAAGTCGTAGCTAGGAAGTGGGACCCCACTTCAGGCGGACGGAGGGTCTCAGCCTGTTGGTCAGGCCTTTGCCAAGCAGCTCAGCCGTGTAGTCAGACATGAACTCCAAGTCCGGAAACATGGGAACCAAGGCCTCCGAGACCCGGCAGCTTCCCACCACTCGCTCCGAGAGCAGGGAACACGGAAGGACGAGCGCAGGTGAGCCCAGCGGGACTGTCCCGCCTCGACCCAGGGCGCGATCATGAACTCGATGAAGCCGATCTGAGAGTGTGCCCTGCGGGTCATGTGGCACGAAGCCGAGCGAAAACACCCGGACGACCGACTTTGGCAGGTCGGCCCGAATATACCGACCGGTGTCCCAACTGGTGGTTTCGCGTTTGGGCAAGGCTCCAGGTGGGTCACAACCCATCCACCAACCCACAGCTTCCTTCGATGTGCAGTCCGGGTGGCTTTTGGCCGCCGTTCGCCCAAGCTCGAGCCCCGACCCGTTCGGGCGAAGCGAAGCAAAGATCCACCACGCCTGTTGACCATCTCTCGATCGTTCAGCATGCCGACCGGGATTCCCAGCTCCTTTTCCTGTAAACGTGGCTGGTTTCGGAGCGAATTTGGTTGGACGTGTCTGTTTGACACAAAATCAAGAGCTGCACAAAACAGTCAGTCTTGCACCAAATCTCATGGTCGAGTCTTAATGAAGTGCCGCAAATCCACTCACCAAACCACGATCTACGTCTGGTGCAACTGGCTCCCAACCCCCTCCTTATCTCCCTGGCTGAAGAACTCGTCCATACCTTCAGGTTGCAACTGGCCAGAATCTGTAGTTGGCCAAAAAGACCTGCCTGGGCCTGGACCTATGATTATCAATCTGGATCCAAATCATTTCCCATGAATGGCTCAAAAGCCTGTTTGCGATGGCTCAGTTAATCTTGTATTGGTTCGTTTTTGACTCATTCCTTGCTCCTCCATAGAAACCGGTCCTCCAAAATCCTCTTTTTAGAAATGTAGCATTAACATCATCCGCTCAAGAATGGCAGAAATCGAAATCGTATGCAGTGGCTCAACTGGCTCAACTCGGTGCGGGCACACAGATGCGCGAGCTTTTCAGCCACCTCCCACGGTCTGGAAGGATTGTTGACCTCAGCGAAGGCGTTTAAAAAGCCCATGAAAAGAATGCCACTATATGATGCTTTTGAACCTGCCCATGTATATAAATGCCATCACTTCCGCAAATGACCCTGACCCTTTGAGGCAATCTTCACAAGCTTCTGTGAAGCGCCAGTCTATCTCGGGTATCTCGAAAAAATGTAAGCCGTAAGCCCATGAGAAAAGCATCGCCTACAGCATGACCTCCAAACATCAAGAAGCCTGCAGGCTCTTTCACCTCTGAATCTGTAGGGCAGTGTCTCATGCAGTGACCTTCTCATGCATTGTGACCCGCCAATCTTAACCACTTCGGCTGCACATTGGCAGCCTGGCCATGATCAACTTGGAAAGAAGTTGAACAAATGAAGCTGCTGCTTGGAAGTTGCAGCCCATTCTCGAGTAAGTTGGGAGTCAGCCGCAAATGGCGAACCTCTGAAACTGCCTGGCGCCCTGTGGTCCCAACTCACCCAACGTCTGGCGTCTCGACGTCCATCTGATACGCCTCTTCAGGTCTGCTGCGTCCCAGGGCCCCCAGCATCTGCTGAGTGGAGGAAGCTGTTCATCATCAGGGGTCGGTTGTTTTTCAAAACATCCTCTGCCTCGGCCAGGTCGTCCCAGGGCGCCCATCCCGGGTCTGATGGAAAATAGGACGGTGCTTCTCATCGGTGCTTGTGACTTCTCATCGGATTCAATGCAACACGTTTCCAGAGTATCAAAGAAGCGAATTCCATCGAGGCAGGCATGTTTGCAGGGTGATATGGCCAGTTTTTTATGGGCCTGCGTGCGAACCACTCCGGGCCTCAGCTGACAATTCTTCGATGTTGAGGGTCTCTTTGTTCATCTGGTAGAACAAGGACAAGTCCTTGCTCTTTGCCCAGCAGAACAGAGGTGTGACTTGAACTTTTTCACGCAGAAGAAACACTGTGCCTCATGCCTTACTCCCTTTTTCCTCCAAAACACCTCTTGGCACAACCATGAAGCCTGTCAGACCAGCATCGGTGACACAACTGGACATTGTTTTGGAGTGTGTGCGTGTGTCTCAGCACTCCTTCACCATCTCATTGTGCTTGGTGATATCGGTATGCAGGATGGCCTCACCGATATCAGGGACAACCCCGCCGTTTTGCGGCTTCTGGGAGGTGCCAAGCGGAGAGAAGAGGAGTGAGCTTCGCGTATGTTCGCAGAAAAGAAGTTCCAACCTCTACTGTAAAAACTTCTGAAAGACTTGCCAAGTGTGCAAAAGCAAGGCTTCTGGATTTACTGGTTCTTGGAGTGCTTTCATGTTTGCACCACAAAATCACGTTGGATGCCGGCCTCGATGATATTCTTCCGAATGTGTTTGTAGGTCTCCTAGTCAGGCGAGAGAAGCGGCTCCAGCTTCCACTCAGGAGACTTGATGTCTTGTCTTTGACGACAGCCAAGCAGGGAGCCCTTGAGCGGAAAGCCAACCTTCGGCAAGGGAAGTGAGGTGTTTTGGGCATCATCGCCAAGTTCTCTATGGTCTATGTAGGTTCGGGCTGGAATTCGATCTGTGGCATTCAACTGTACTTCGTGACCACGACCTTCCGGAAAAACCGGACCAACCACCGAAGACGCGGCCGAAGGCGTCGCCGGAACCGAAGAGCTCCTTGTCCACCGAACCCAAGAGATTCGTGTCGGAGGTCCCTAAGATCTGGAAGAGCTTCCAACCTCAGCGGAGCGGCAAAGCCTCCACCATCCGATCAGCCAGAGCTGAAGAAGAACAGCGGAAGACATGTCCACGACACATGTCCATGCTACACATGCCAATGCTGTTTCACCTGGCCTTTTGCTCGCAGTTCCTACCGGGTAGAACCGTCCTTCTTCTTCTTCTTCTCCTTCTTCTTCTTCGCTCTGGTGAATGCGGTTGAATTCTCACTGAAATGCATTCCTGGAGACAATGCATATTCTCCAAGGGAGACCGGTCATTGTAAATCACCGCCAACTCGTGAGCCGTCCTCAGAACAGCCGCTGGACGACGAAAAAGAACCTGCGTTGCACCAGCCAAAAAATGCGACTGGAAGTGGCGTTCGCCCCCAAAAAGCTGGACACCTCCAGGAACCCCAAGAGCAATGCTCCCAAAACGTGAAGCGACCCGCGGACCTGAAGACCCACCTGCGTCTCCCACACCGACCGCGCGGTCCGGTCCCGGACCGGCTGGTCGGTGTCCAAGGCCCCCGGGCGCCACCAAGAAGTTGTTGTTGACCCCCAAGTGGCCGAGATCATGTCCTGCGTGGCGCACACAGCAGAGGTAGCTGGAAACCTCTGTGTTTTTAGCCCGCTCCCCCTCTTTGCCCGCTCCCCCTCCTTCCTGCTTCATTAAGTAGGGGCCTACTTGATGAAGTAAGGAACTGAGGTAGCTGGTAGTAGCTAGGTAGCCACTTTATAACTACTGGACGCAGGATAGCTCGCACTGATGATTTGATTTCTAAATTCTAAATGTTGAGGGAAACTTAAGGTTGGAGGCCATCGCTGACTTGGGTGTGTACCGAATCTCATGAGACCATCCATGACTTCTGCCTTTCAGCTGAAACAACGACGTAATTGAGCCACCACCTTTGAAGGTTCGGCTTCCTTCCACCTGAACATGGAGTCTACATTCATGTCTATCTCCTCCCATAAGACCGAGGAGGTCTATCCTCACCAAAACTCAACGACGCAATGTTCTCCTATGGCTGCCACCAGTAAGGCGAACTGCTCAGAATCCACTAAGAAGCGCTTGGCCTGTCGCAACCCAGCGGTGAACTCGCTGGGTAAGGTGTGTGTGAACTCCCCGCTTCGGCGCCTTTTGGGTCGGCGCGTGGTCCCCCCGAACATTCGGAGGCTCTGTCAGCAAACCAAGGATTCTCACCGGGGATCCATGAATACTATCCATTGCAAATTGCAGTGTCAAACCACCAAAGAACCTCTGGCCTGCAGCACTTGCTTGCATCCTAAACTCTCATCGAGGGACACTCATCCGCCTAGGCAACTAGCCTTTAGCCAAGGGGCTTTGGTCTGCACCATTTGCATCCAGAGCCAGCACAGCACGTCCACGGCATGCACAAAGTTGTGAAAGGGGTTGGAAGCCACATACGTCCTCAGATCAGAGGTTATTCTACATGAGAACTCGAACTTGCTTTTTGTTTGGCTCAGTTTAAAATGGGCTCGGATTCAATTTAGGATTTTTTGGATTTTGTTGTTTTTTGTTTTTCGTGGCAGGCACAGTACTTTGTGGACCTTGAAGTGCACATTTCGTGGCAGGCACAGTACTTTGCGGTCCTTGAAGTGCAAATTTTGTGGCAGGCGCAGTACTTTGTGGACCTTGAAGTGCAGATTTCGTGACACGTGCAGTACTTTGTGGACCTTGAAGTGCAGGTTTCGTGGTAGGTGCAGCACTTTGAAGTGCAAATGTTGTGGCACGTGCAGCACTTTGTGGACCTTGAAGTGCAAATTTCGTGGCACGTGCAGCACTTTGTGGACCTTGAAGTGCAGATTTCGTGGTAGGCAGTACTTTGTGGACCTTGAAGTGTACATTTCGTGGCAGGTGCAGCACTTGTGAACTTGGAAGTGCAGATAGAAAGAGATAGATAGATAGATAGATAGATAGATAGATAGACAGACAGATAGATAGATAGATAGGTACACCTTCTCAAACTCCTCCTGGGTGAGCAGGTAGGTAGGTAGATAGATAGATAGGTAGGTAGATAGATAGATAGATAGATGAAAAAAGAAAAGACACCTGACCCTCAAAAGAAAAAAGACGAACCCTCCAAAAAAATTGACCCTCCTCCTCAAAATTTGACCCTCAAAAGCCTCAGAAGCCCTCGTCCTTGCTTCCTTCCTGCCTTCCTTCCTTCCCTCCTTCTTTCCTTCGCATGGCTAGAAAGCCACGAAAGCCAAAAGCCACACAGAATCCAAAAGCCACACAA